CCTTCCTTCCAAGTATCAATCTAGGACCATACAATTTAGATTGAATATATCCAACATTTGGAAGGAATTTATTAATTTCTACTAAATTTTTCTCTTGGTATTTGCTTTATCATGCTATTCCACTGCAGATTAATCACTTCTAATTGAAGGTTAGTACAAGTTCTTCAACTACACAAGGGATTTTGAAATACAGAAATTTCCTTTGCACTTGCATCAAGGTCCAAAAAATGCTGTTAGAACTGTGGTTTAAGCTCCGAATATATACCCACTCTTAATGTCATGTGGGAATAGAGATCTTCATCTTTTAACTTTGGACAGCAATGGAAACATACAAAGCAGCTTCATATTACTGTAAAATGCTAGTTATCGTCTATATGACTTTATCACATGTTTTACATATAAGGGCTGTTTGGCCCTGGATATCCAGGTGGAGTTCATTAAAAAGCATCATCAGGTTGGTACCAAAAACCAAGTTCCAAAGCTATTCAGTGTTCAGTAAGTGGTAGAAGGCAGTTCTTTTTGTTAAAAAATAAAAAAAGGGCAATCTCAGCTCTGAGATCAAAATATTTACAACATAACTTTGCCACTGGTAAGCCATAAAACAGCTATGCAGTAGGGCAACTCAGGTATTTAGCTTTTATTTCCGAAAAAAATTCATGAAACTGATGATGATTAGATCCAAGAGAGTGTGAGAAATTTATGATTAACACTACTGGTTCAATAACACATGATAAAGTCAAAATTTCTCATAAAGTATCTGCAGATGAATAATATAATGAATAACAATAGATTTTAAAAACATTACATTCTTATAAGCTTTGTAAATTGTCCAACTAAGCTTTTTTCTGCTCTATAATTTTTCCACCATCAATTTAGACACATTTTAACAGATTCTACTTCATATTATACTGAATTAGTATAACTATGGATAAAACTTAATTTCTCAGAGCCTCAGTTTACTCATCTATTATGAGGGATGATTACTTTAAAGTGCTGATCTAAATATTAAATAAGATGATCTACATGTTGCTGTTGTTGTTAGGTGCTGCAGAGATGGCTCCAACTCATAGTGACCCTATCTATATACAATAGAATGAAACACTGCCAGGTTCTGTACCAGCCTCACAATCCCTGCTATATCAGAGCCCACCGCTGCAGCCACTGTGTCCATCTCATTGAGAGCCTTTCCGTTTTTCATTGACCCTCCAATTTACCCAGCATGATATCCTTGTCCAAGGAATGGTCCCTTCTGACAACACGACCAAAGTAGATGAGACAAACTCTGGCCATTCTTTGTTCCAGAGAGTATTCCAGCTGCACTTCCTCCAGTTCACACCTGTTAGTTCTTTTAGCAGTCCATGGTACTTTTCAGTATTCTTCGCCAACACCAAAACTCAAAAGCATCAACTCTTCTTTGGTCTTCTTTATTCAATGTCCAGCTCTCACATGCATGAGGCAATTGAAAATACCATGGCTTGGGTTAGGCACACCTTATCCTTCAAAGAGATATCTTTGCTCTTCAGCACTTTAAAGAGGTCTTTTGCAGCAGATATGCCCAGTACAATACGCTGTCTGATGTACTGACTGCTGCTTCCATTGGTTTTGATTGTGGAGCCAAGTAATATGAAATCTTAGACAACTTCAATCTTTTTTCCATTTATCGTGATGCTGCTTATTGGCCTAGTTGTGAAGATTTTAATTTTCTTTATGTTGAGATGTAATCCATATTGCAGATGGCAGTAGTCTTTAATCTTCACTAGTAAGTGTTGCAAGTCATCCTCACTTTCAGCAAGCAAAGTTGTATCATGTGCATATTGCAGGTTGTTAACAAGTCTTCCTTCAATCCTGATGCCACGCCCTTTTCCATATAGTCTAGCTTCTCAGATTATTTGCTGAGCATATTGATTGAATAAGTATGGTGAAAGGATACAACCCTGATGCACTCCCTTCCTGACTTTAAATCAGGCAGTAACCCCTGTTCTCTTCAAACAATAGGGTATGTACAGGATCCTCATGAGCACAATTAAATGTTTTTGAATTCCCGTTCTTCTCAATGTTATCCATAATTTGTCATGATCCACACAATCAAATGTTTTTGCACAGTCAACAAAACACAAGTAAATATCTTTCTGGTATTCTTTGCTTTCAGCTAAGATCCATTTGACATCAGCAATGATATTCCTCGTTCCACGTCCTCTTCTGAATCCAGCTTACATTTCAGGAAGTTCCCCATCAATATATTGCTGCAACCATTTCTGAATTATTTTCAGCAAGATTTTACTTGTGTGTGATGTTAATGATATCATTCAATAACTTCCACATTCTGTGGGATCACCTTTCTTGGAATGGGTACAAATATGGATCTCTGCTAGTCAGTTGGCCAGGTAGCTATTTTCCGTATTTCTTGGCTTAGATGACTGAGTGCCTCCAGTGTGGCATCCATTTGTTGAAACATCTCAATGGGCATTCCCACTGAATACCTGCACCCTTGTTCTCCAATTCCTTCAGTGTAGCTTCAACTTCTTCTTTCAATACCATTAGTTCCTGATCATATGCCACCTCCTGAAATGGATGAATACCAACAAATTCTTTTTGGTACAGTGACTCTATGTATGCCTTCCATCTTCATTTGATGTTTCCTGCATCATTCAGTATTTTGGCTGTAGAATCTTTCAATATTGCAACTTGAGGGTTGAATTTTTTTTCAGTTATTTCAGCTTGAGAAATGCAGAATGTGTTCTTCCCTTTTAGTTTTCTAACTCCAGGTCTTTGCACATTTCACTGTAATAAATGGCTTTGTCTTCTTGAGCTGCTCTTTGACTCTTCTAATCAGTTCTTACATCTTGTCATTTCTTCCATTTGCTTTAGCTACTCTCCATTCAAGAGCAAGTTTCAGAGTCTCTTGTGACATTCATTTTGGTCTTTTCTTCCTTTCCTGTCTTTTTACTAATCTTTTGCTTTCTTCATGGATGATGTGCTTGATGTCATCCCACAGTTCATCTGGTTTGCGGTCACTGGTGTTCGATGCATCAAATCTATTCTTTAGACAGTTTCTAAATTCAGGTGGGATATAATCAAGTTCATATTTTGGCTCTTATGGAATTGTTTTACTTGTCTTCAGTTTCAACTTGAATTTGCATATGAGCAGCTGACAGTCTGTTCCACAGTCAGCCTCTTGGCCTTACTTTGGCTAAAAATATTGAGCTTCTTCATCTCCTCTTTCCACAGATGTAGTCGATCTGATTCCTGTGTACTCCATCTAGCGAAGTCCATGTGCGTAAGTCAAAAAACTCACTGCAGCTGAGTCGGTCCTGTCTTATAACAACCCCTCCTTGGGGTTCCGAGGCAGTATCTCTATGGAAGTACACTCCAGTCTTTCTTCCAAGGACTGGCTGTTGGGTTTGAACCACCAGCCTTGTGGGTTAGCAGTCAAATGCCTTAGGCACCAGCTGCCATTTATGTTTTTGAAAAAAGGTATTGGCAATGAGTAAGTCGTTGGTCTTGAAAAAGTTTATTACGTGATCTCCAACATTGTATCTATCTCCAAGGCTGTATTTTCCAACTACCAGTGATTCTTCTTTCGTTTCCAACTTTTGTATTCTAATCACCAGTGGTAATCAACACATCTTGACTGCATGTTTGGTCAATTTCAGACTGCAGAAGTTGGTAAAAATATTCAATTTCCTCATCCTTGGCTTGTGTGGTTGGTATTTAAATTTGGCAACAGTAGTATTAACTGGTCTTCCTTATAGGCATATGGATATTATCCTATCATTGACAGCATTGTACTTCAGGATAGATCTTGAAACATTCTTCATGACAATGAATGCCACTTCATTCCTCTTCAATTTGTCATTCCCAGCATAGTAGATCATATTAACAGATCATAGATCTGATTCAAAATGGCCAAAACCAATCCATTTCAGCTCACTAATGCCTAGGATATCAAACTTTATGGGTTCCATTTCATTTTTGACAACTTCCAATTCTCCTACATTCATACTTCGTACATTCCATGTTCTGATTATTAATGGGTATTTGCAGCTGTTTTTTCTCATTTTGAGTCATGCCACATCAGCAAATCAGAGTCCTGAAAGTTTACTCCATCCACATCATTAAGATCAGCTCTACTCTAAGGAGACAGCTCTTCCCCAGTCATATTTTGAGTGCTTTTGGACTTGAGGGTCTCGTCTTCTGGCAGTACATGGGAGAATGTTTCAGGACTATTCATAAAGTTTTCCAGTAATACATCAGACAGTATTTCACTGCTAGTCATAATGTTTTCACTGGCCAATTCTTTGAGAAATGGATAGCCTCTTCCTTCTTCCAAGTCTGTCTTAGTCTGGAAGCTTCACTAAAACCTGTCCACCATGGGTGATGCTGCTGGTATTTGAAATACTTGTGGCATAGCCTTCAGCCACACAGCAACAAGCAATCCACCACAGTGCAACAAACTGTCAGACAAGTGGTAGAGACAATTTACATAAACAGATTAAAATAACACCTACACAGAAGGTGATCAGTAACTGTTACTCATATTTATTATTTTTTACTGCAAATTAGGTGATGGTGACAACACTACAGATGACAGTAATATAACAAATTTAAGAAATAGAATTAATGGAAGAGAAATGTAAACATAGACTCAAATGGATATAATAACTACTTGAAACAAACACATAAAACCTATTGCTTTTGTGGGAAATCCTTGGATGTCAGGACTAAAAATGTGAAAAACCAAATTAGACATAGGCAACACAGAAAAGTGAGAACAAATGGATAAAAATATAGGCAGCACACTTAAGGATGAGAGGAAGTAGTAAAGTTAACAAAGATGACATAGGAGTAACATGAACAGAAGAATCAGCAGTGACTCTTACCACTAAATAAATGTTTACGGGGATGGAAGATTGAAGGACAGCTATCTAAGAAAATCAGATTTACATGAAATGCAATGAGTTCATAAGAAAAATACTATCAAAGTTGAAGAATCTACTTACTGACACAGCTATCATGGTACTATCTGGCCTCCATTCAGCTTGTTTGTAAGATCCAAACTGAGCAGATGATTTTGCGAGTTCCTTGTAGGTTACAATTAACACACTAGGCTGGAAGGAAACAGTTGCATTTGTATTAATATATCATAAAAATACATACAAACAAAATTTAAGATAACCTATCATGTAGTACTCTGAAAGCAGTTAAATAATTCTACAAGTGCAATAAAAGCATAATCTAATATTAAATCATCAGCTTCAAACAGTCTAGTCAAATCAACAAAAAAGACCCAAAAACAATTCTTCAATGAATACTTTCTATATAGCTGAAGAGGCTCTATTTAATAAATCAAAAAGTAACCCCTGCCATCACCTCAATCTTAGAGTTTATAATACACTTCGGAAAATAAAATTTTCAAGGAAGAATTTGGGAAGACCAGATAGTACATAATTAAATCCTTAACAATGTAATGGTAATATATATAGTACTTGACTTTTATTTAAGCACATTCTATTCATTCTCTACTTGGAAAAAGGACTGTTAACAACAAAGAAGGAGAGGAACAGCAATGCATAGAAGAATCATACACTATTGGCTGGATGTAAGTTTTCATTTCTCTTAGATAAATTCACCTTCAAGAGAAATGTCTGGGTCATATGCTAACTCTATTGTATTGGTTGGGAGCTCTGGTAGCATAGTGGCTAAGGCACTTGACTGCTAACCAGAAGGCTGGCGGTTCAAACCCACCAGCCACTCCTCGGAAGGAAGGTTGGGCATTCCTACTTCCGTAGTGATACTGCCTCGGAAACCCAAGGAGGGGTCGCTATGAGTCGGGGCCGACTCGACGGCACATAACAACAACAACAACAACATTGTATTGGTTACCTACTGTCGCTCTAACAGAAGATACCACAAATGGGATGGCTTAAACAAACAGGAGTTTACTCTCTCGTAGTTTGGAGGCTTTAAGTCTGAGTTCAAAGTGCCAGGCTCTAGGGGTTGTGTGAAGGCCCCTCAACCGTGGGCTTCAGCTCTGCCTTCTGCTCCCGGCCCACTGAAGCTAGAGGCTTTTCTTCACCCAGGCAGCTGCTGGCTGCTGAGGATGACAAGCCCAAGGTTGACAAGTAAAAAGGCACAGTGTGATGTTACCAAGCCACATGGCAGGCCATTAATTCAAGTCCACTGAAAGAGCCAAGCAAGCTGGCAAGCTGGCAAGTTCAGCATGGCAAGCTGCTAAACAACGATGGGCTGCATGCAGGCTTCAAGTGGGCCTACACTAGAGACCATTCCCAAAGCTGTTTCTTATATATGGGAAGCAGACCACATAACCAAAGCAGCTACTCAGCTGCTCCAATAGATTCTACCATGGAGTTCATTACCAGTCTCACCACGGGGAATAACTACATCCAGCTGCCCAGCCACTCAACCAGGCCCAGCCAAGTTGACACACAAACCACCACATCCATGTTTAACATTTTGAGAAACTGTCAAACTCTCGTCCACAGCAGCTGCACATTTTTTTTTTTTTCCAGCGGCACAATTTTATACTCCCACCAGTATACGAAGGTTCCAATTTCTCAACACGTTTGATAATAGTTGCCATTGTATTTTTTTTTAATGTAGCCATCCTTCTGAACATGAAGTGGTATCTCATTTTGGTTTTGATTTGCATTTTTCTAATGACTAATGTTACTATAGGAGCTCTGGTAGTGCAGTGCCTAAGGCACTTGACTGCTAACCAGAAGGCTGGAGGTTCAAACCCACCAGCCACTCCTCGGAAGGAAGGTTGGGCAATCTACTTCTGTAGTGATACTGCCTCAGAAACCCAAGGAGGGGTTGCTATGGGTCGGGGCCAACTCGATGGCACACAACAACGTTACTATGCATCTTTTCATGTGCTTATTGACCATCTATATATTTTCTCTTCTATCTATATCAAATCCATTGTCCATTTTTTAACTGGGCAATGGTATCACCAACTCTTATAAAGGTCATGTTCCAACAACTGACTCTCTGAAGTTGATTGCTGGCATTCTTTAAGATAATTGTTTCTGCAGTAGAATTCATTGTAAACAGAGATAAAATACCTTGGTCATCTTACAAAAAGTCTATTCTGCCTACCTATACCAGTAGACAATTTAATGCAAGTTCTGAAGTATGAGTGAGAGGATTCAAATACTGGCTAGGCCAGTTATGAGCTTTGTGACCTTAGACAAACTACTTAATTCCACCTATGTTTCCGTTTTTATACCTTTAAAATAAATGTAACGATAGAACCCATGTCACCGGCTATCACTGCTGCAAAGATTACATAAATAATACAGCATATGGTAGATTACCTGGCACTTAATAAGCACTTCAGATGTTACTTGTTGCTGTTTTATTATCATTTTCATGTCTCAGGATTACATTATTGAAAATACTACAGAACAAAACTCTTGACTGTTTCCTACGAATTAGTTCATTCACAAGTCCTACTTAAGCCAGTAGTAACATATTGCTTTCTGCTATAAATTATGCAATGAGAATAAGATCTGCTCAACTATCTGTTAAATTGAGGGGGTAGAGGCAGTGGAGCAGAATGAATTGAGGTAGGCCCAAAGAACGTTCTGAAATGATGTAAATTATATAAATTTTGACTGAGACAGCAGTTATACAGCATATACATATGCCAACAGTCACGTAAGATCGATATTTTACTGTACATAAATTATACCTCCAAAAGACATGCCCCTCCTCTAAAAAAAGTCATCATTCAAATAAACTGTGTCATTTACAAAAGCAGGAATGATTACTAACATAGATGATTTTCAAAGAAAATTTCCTGGTTAATTACTAGTTAAACACAAAATAAGTTAAACAGACACATTATACTCACTTTTAGTTGTGTTTTATTTTGCTAAAAACAGTTCTGAAATATAATTGTGAGAAGTGCATAATGTATTGCTTTCAAAGCAGATACAGCACACTTTTTCAGTAAGATGTAGTGTTTTCTGTTGCTATTGTGTTAAGTGATGACTGGCTAACTTCATACTTTAAATACTCAATTTCCAAAGTGATATTCCTTAAACTACACAATCCTGCAATAACAGTAATAACAATAATCTACAAATGGATACATAGACAGACACGCAAGCTGAACTAGTGTTGGAAAACAAATGGGATTACACCCACAAATAGGTTTGACAGAGGATACTTCTATGTATTTTTATGTGTGCTGCAAATATATCCATGAATAAAGTATAGCATACAAGGGAAAAGTTATGAAAACTTATTATCCATAACCTAATACTTTAAAGCAATGAATTGCTGGGCCTAGGTACTTCAGACCACAGTCTCAGGGGACATCAGAGTCAACTGGCACAACACCGTCCACAAAGAAAATGTTCTGTATCTCACTTTGATGAGTAGTGACTAGGGTCTTAAAAGCTTATGAGCAACCATCTACTAAGGTGCAACTACTAGTCTTTCCCTGTCCTGAGCATAAAACAGTGAATAAAATCAAAGACACATGGAAACAATTAATCCAAAGGACTAATGGACCATGGGAAAGTCAGCCTCTAGGACCCTGAGACCAGAAGAACTAGATAGTGCCCAGCTATCACCAGTCTCTCTGAAAGAGATCACAACAGGAACTCCTGGAGAGAGTAGGAGAAAAATGCCCAACAAAACTCAAGATCATAAAAAAGACCAGGTTTACTGATCAGAAGAATTGTGAGGGATGTCTCAATCTGAACACCAACGCTCTTGGCATTAAATTGAGATGATGAACTACATATATAGAAAGAGGCTAGCCAATATAGAAAGAGGCCAACCAACACACTTTGGCAGTTTTCTTTTTCTCCTATATGAAATGAGTAGTAGTTGAGGATTATCTCATTCCCATTTTCAGGTTCTTTTTTTTTTAAAAAAAAACAAAAAAAACCACAAAACTTTCTATTGTGGTTTGAGTGAAACCCACATGGACATTTCCTGTCTCAAAAGTTGTTTTGAAATTATTTTTAAATTTTACAAAAAAATCACCTTTCCCGAGTCAAGATAGTGAGAGACCATGCTCTGGAATCATAGGCAGCTTTCCAGAGCCTCCTGTCACCTAAAGCCCATTTTCAGGTTTTTGAAATCAGGATGTTTCCTCTCCCATCCTGCTACTAATCTTTATCCTGTGAAACAGTACCTGAACAAATGCTTCTGAATGGAAATTGCTTTAAAGTAATTTCATGTATACAATAACATCGATAAAGTATCATGTTAAATATGTTTAATTTTAACCTACTCAACCCTTTCAGGATATAGGAAAAATCCAAATCCAGAGTAGGGTGGTCTACAAAAAAGTGGCCTAATTTACTAAAAAAATTAAATGTGAAAGAAAGAAGGGAAGAAAGATTATTCTAGGTTAACAGTTATAACACCTCATTGTAATGCATGAATTTTGAATAGATCCTTGTTTTCAAATTTAAAGGGGACTATAAAATAATCTAGAGAATATTTGGGAAAATTTCCAATCAAACTACATAGTAGAAGGCATTAGAGAATTAGTACTTTTTAGAACTGTATCATCGTTATGTATATTTAAGAATGCCATTTTTGGAAGATGCATACTGAAGTATTTAGGCATCAATGAAGAATATTGATGTTTCTACTTTCAAATGATTCCATACACTTACATACTCAGATATATACACGTGTACAAACACACACACACACAAAACAAAATGTTCAACGTTGTTGACAAATTACAGGAATCAATGTTGATTCCATATATGTGTATACAAGTGGAGGTAAAAATCTGTATGCACAAATTCTATACAGAGTGTAAGGAAAGAAACACTATAATTTGTCTCTATTTCCTAGCATACAGTTTACATGTCCAGTTGTTAGACCCCAATATACCACAATAAAAACCAAAAACCCAATGCCATAAAGTCAATTCTGACTCATAGTGACCCTAAAGGACAGAGCAGAACTGCTCCAGAGGGTTTCGAAAACTACAAGTTTTTATGGAAACAAACCGCCTCATCTTTCTCTCACAGAGTGACTGGTGGGTTCAAACTGCTGACCTTTTGGTTAGCAACCAAATGCTTTAACCACTATGCCACTAGAGCTCCTAACA